AAAAGAGGACGTATGGTCACCCTAATTTATAATCTATTGCTAATCGATGTATTCTTTTTAAAGTAGCCTGTGGAACATATTTTCTGCCTCGTTCTGTGACGAGAAGCCTCATCAGATCACAGAAGGAAGCATGTGACTGGTGTTGTGGAGTAAGAAGGTTATAATGTTCTCTTTTGTTGGACAACAGGTTTAGAAATGTGAATGCAAGAGAGGTTTAGCTTTAGGCATTTTAGTTTAAGCATGTTTAGTTGAGTTAACGGAAGCTGCTGCCATCAGAGCAAGTGTAATTACTGCATTCACGCGCTCCTCGATGCTCTCGTTTCCCGAGTTCTGCTTTTAAGTCAGAATGTGAAAACAACATGGACACTCGCGTTACTACAAAGATGTGTTGGATTTGTATTATTAGAGCTTTCCGACTCGAGTTCACGTGCATTTTCTCAGTCGGGAAATTATTTTTCACGTGCGGTGCCGGTGATGATGCTTCTTACGTCTGTTTCGGAGAACTCAGGCATGGCACCGAAATCTGTGTTCTGATTCGGTTCTAGTACATACGGGTTACAGAGGTACCGGTGCCATATTGGTACTGGATTTCATACCCAACCCTACTTCCGATCGAGTCATAAAATGTGATTCTGGGCCGATACCAATCGATCGGAGCATCCCTAGTTTGTTCTGTGTTTGTACCTTTTTGATCCTCTTGCAGGGACACTTGAGCTTCACTCGCTGACTGCAGCTCTGATCGCACTCATCCGGGTGACACAGCAGCTTACAGCGGTGCCCACATCCCAACTGCACATATCCATACAACCAATTACATATGCCTTTAACAGCTACTGCATTCATTCTGAACGCAGCCGCATCCCAACATTAAAACACTGTTAGCTTTGCACAGAACAAACACTACAAATCATTCCTAGTCTGAATGTTTTGACACACAAGCACTCGTCTCACAGAATGACACACAAACACACACGATCGAGTGTTGCAGCACCTGTTTTGGACACTGATTCTGACAGGAGCTCAGCAGCTGTTTGCCTTGTTCATCCGCAGACGTGAACTTCCTACAAAACACACACACACATTCATCAATGAACATATTAAAGGGAAAGTTCATCCAAAAATTTTAATTACCCCATGATTTACTCACCCTCAAGTCATCCTAGGTGTATATAACTTTCTTCTTTCAGACAAATACAATCGGAGTTATATTAAAAAATGTCCAGGCTAATCCATGCTTTATAATGGCAGTGAATGGTAGCCCAAAATTTGAAGTCCAAAAAATGGTACCCATCCATTATAAAAAGTGCCTCACATGGGGGGTGAATAAAGGCCTTCTGAAGTGAAGCGATGCATTTGTGTAAGAAAAATATACATATTTACAACTTTATAAACCTCTTTATTAATCTCTAGCTTCCGCTAACTGTCGAATGCGAGTTCACGAGAGAGTGGTGTCCAGCGGATGATGTAAGATGCAAGCAAACGTGGTGACGAACGTGAAAGTGACGAATGTGGAAGGGCAGAGGAGAGAGTAAAACAAAACCCCAGTCACAAATTAGTAGTATAAAACGAGGATTTGTAAAGAAAAATGTCAAGACGATTTTGATATAAGTCAAGAGGACACTGGTTTTCCTTTGCTGTAAACAAAACTTATTTCTTGCGAGTCTAGCATATTCTCACCGGAGTTTACGCTAAGCCTACGTCCTACATCATCCGCTGGACGCCACTCTCTCGTGAACACGCATAAGACAGTTAGCGGAAGCTAGAGATTAAGGTTTATAAAGTTGTAAATATGGATATTTTCCTTACAAAATGTTCTTATTTTTCTTATTAACCCCCCGGAGCCATGTGGACTTTTATAATGGATGGGTGCCATTTTTTGGACTTCAAATTTTGGGCTACCATTCACTGCCATTATAAAGCATGGATTAACCTAGACATTATTTAATATGACTCTGATTTTATTTGTCTGAAAGAAGAATGTCATATACACCTAGGATGGCTTGAGGGTGAGTAAATAATGGGGTAATTTTCATTTTTGGGTGAACTATCCCTTTAAATGAGCGATATTATCAAGAACAGCTTTTCAAATACGGCCAACAACTGAAAGCTGCAGAAGAGTCCAGCGTGTCACTCACACACACTCGATGTACAGGCTGGAGATCTTACAGTGGCAGCGCTGACGGACCATCAGCCGACAGGGAGGGCAGTTACCATGGTGACAGGGCAGCGCACACGGGTGGGTACAGCCGTCGGGACGGAGCTTTGAACAGCCCTCCTCACACTGCCCACACTCCCGACCGGCCTACACACACACACACACACACACACACACACACACACACAGAAAACAAACAGAAAGCCAGTCACTGTGAGGACTGAGCTCATGGCAACAGGGTCAGAGGGTCATGTGACCCACCTTAGTTTTGTCTGAGTTTGGCAGAGCAGTCACATGATGGCACTCCAAACTGCAGCAGTTTACGCTAAGCCTACGTCCTACATCATCCGCTGGACGCCACTCTCTCGTGAACACGCATAAGACAGTTAGCGGAAGCTAGAGATTAAGGTTTATAAAGTTGTAAATATGGATATTTTCCTTACAAAATGTTCTTATTTTTCTTATTAACCCCCCGGAGCCATGTGGACTTTTATAATGGATGGGTGCCATTTTTTGGACTTCAAATTTTGGGCTACCATTCACTGCCATTATAAAGCATGGATTAACCTAGACATTATTTAATATGACTCTGATTTTATTTGTCTGAAAGAAGAATGTCATATACACCTAGGATGGCTTGAGGGTGAGTAAATAATGGGGTAATTTTCATTTTTGGGTGAACTATCCCTTTAAATGAGCGATCTTATCAAGAACAGCTTTTCAAATACGGCCAACAACTGAAAGCTGCAGAAGAGTCCAGCGTGTCACTCACACACACTCGATGTACAGGCTGGAGATCTTACAGTGGCAGCGCTGACGGACCATCAGCCGACAGGGAGGGCAGTTACCATGGTGACAGGGCAGCGCACACGGGTGGGTACAGCCGTCGGGACGGAGCTTTGAACAGCCCTCCTCACACTGCCCACACTCCTGACCGGCCTACACACACACACACACACACACACACACAGATGGACACAGAAAACAAACAGAAAGCCAGTCACTGTGAGGACTGAGCTCATGGCAACAGGGTCAGAGGGTCATGTGACCCACCTTAGTTTTGTCTGAGTTTGGCAGAGCGGTCACATGATGGCACTCCAAACTGCAGCTATGATTCCCACACGCTAAAGTCCGTCCACATGACCGGCCGCACGAGAACGGCCCACGAGTGTGACACGGAACTGGACTCACCTTCAACACACACACACACACACACACACACAATGCTCTAGATGAGACTGACATGATTCAGAGTAATTTTATTTGACTATAATCATATATAAGTTATATAACTAATATATATAACTAATACTAGACTAACTAAATGTTTCTCAAGCCTACTGAAGAACAGAAACATATGACATGCAAAAGGACATCAACAATGCAAAGTAATCAAATGTAAAATAAGACATTGCATGAATGACATACAGTGATTGTTATTAAAGCTGCTAAAGTGATTGAGTGATGTGAGTGATTTTCTCTCTGTCTTGTGTTGTTTGATGAACATTAATGACACAGGCAGTAGCAGATTATTAGGCTGCTGTCACTTTAAGACCTGATGAACAGATCCAATTTGCTGACACATCTGATTTCTCATCTCACATCTGATTGTGATTAAGAACTCTTAAAATCACAGTAAGTCAGCTGCATCTCAATCGATCGTCATACTACTTCTTACTTATCTGAACGTCACCAATTCGTAGCAGTAAATGACAAGATATCATATCGATCACAAGTGCAGTATGGAGTACCTCAAGGCTCAGTACTAGGGCCGTTACTCTTCACGCTTTACATGTTACCCTTGGGAGATATCATCAGGAAACATGGTGTTAGCTTTCACTGTTATGCTGATGATACTCAGCTCTATATTTCTTCGCCGCCCGATGAAACATACAAATTTGAAAAACTAACGGAATGCATAGTCGATATAAAAAACTGGATGACAAGTAATTTCTTACTGCTAAATTCTGAAAAACAGAGGTGTTAATTATTGGACATAAAACCTCCGCATATAATAACCTAGAACACTGTCTAAGACGTGATGGCTGCTCTGTCAATTCTTCCTCATCAGTTAGGAACCTAGGTGTGCTATCTGATAGCAATCTTTCCTTAGAAAGCCAAGTTTCTAGCATTTATAAAACT